ATTCCACAGTATTTCCGCATATTCTCCGCATTGTGAATTCCACACTTTTTCCGCAAGTGCAGAGTATTCGGAATTCCACAAATACGTAAAAAATGCGTAAAAAATGGAAAACTGAAATTTACGCACTTGCGTAGAAAATGCGTAAAAAAAATCCACAAATTTTCCACATTGTAAATTCCACACTTTTTCCGCAAATGCAGAGTATTCGGAATTCCACAAATACGTAAAAAATGCGTAAAAAATGGAAAACTGAAATTTACGCACTTGCGTAGAAAATGCGTAAAAAATGAAATACTGAAATTTACGCACTTGCGTAGAAAATGTGTAAAAAAATCCACAAATTTTCCACATTGTAAATTACACACTTTTTCCACAAATATGTAAAAAAATGTGTAAAAATTGAAAACCTTTTGTAGCGTAAAAAAAAATCCACATATTTTTCGATTTGTGGCCCAGTGAAATGGAAGAAAAAAAAATTCCTTGACATCTCGCCTCTGTTGCCTGTTTTTTGGAGTCTGAGATTTTCAAGATTAGTCACCAGGTAGGGTCAACAGAAGTAAAAAAAAAAACATTTGTAGGACTGCAGGACATTATGAGTGCATATTCTTTATATCCTTCTTGAATATTAATATTTGGCCAGGGTATTTTGCTCTTCTAATAGCAGATGGTAAGCTATTGCACAACATGGTCAAAACCCTCCCAAAGCACTGCTTTCTTTAGGTCACAGTACAAGAGTTTGGGAACACAACAATGCTTTTGTCTTAGACTGGAGTGATCGTGACAGCTGATACAGGGTTAAACAAGCTCCTGTAGGTACTTAGGAGCTGTTCCACGAACAGTGCCTTGTATGTGTACACCAATTTTTTGTACTATATTTCAAGGGAGGGATCCAATGCTGTTTCTTGTTTAGGTTAGGTTGGTTCCGTTTATCCCTTGCCTGGATACCACCAGGTATGCAGGGCGATTGAAGAATAGGAAAAAAAGAATTATATAAGTCAATTGCAACAAGTTCAGGATAAGTTGGGTTTTATGTATTTGGAAACATCTACCGGTTTCTCCAGAACAGTGAATTTTGACAAAATTTGTTCCCTTATTAGTACTAAAAATCAGGGGGAAACTTTGTATTTTTATCTGTGACATCATACAACCATTAATCATTTTACAGTTGGTGAATACATTGCTAGGTAACCAATGTATTCAACCACAGCAAAATGTTTAATTTTTAAACATGTAACATAAAGATAACCATGATGGACGAAGGGAAGGTGATACAATTTATATTGGAGTGACCGTTTACGGATAATCATGTGATATCTAATGTATGATCATCATGACATCACAGATAACAATGCATGCTCTCGGACAGCACTCAAGTAGTGGCTTAAAGTATAATTCGCTTGGTGATGGGTTCTAGATCTATGGACAGAAGGCTCATAAGCTCACGTGTAGAGCGCAGAAATGTTGGAATAAACTTTGGAGTATGTTCACTATGTTGGTAGCGAGGCCGCCACATCATGATTGGTAGACGCATCACAATAAGAGTATTCTTGTAATTAAAAATTTAAGTAGGGACAGTTAGGATTTATGTAAGGTAGTCAAAATCCACTTTGGCCACCATGTGTCTTGTTGTTTATGTTTTCTATTTCGTGTAATGAATATTTTGATATTTTTGTGTCTAATTTTCATTGTCACCAGTTGTCTATGTATACTTTATAATTTCAAATTTGTTACCACTGCAATCAGAAAGCGAAAGCCGCAATTTATGTTACCCTTCAGCTTGTAAACATGTAATTTGTGTTGGGTGACAATAGTGATGGTGCAACACACTGGTCACCTGGTGAAATTAGTTACAATAGCCCCTAGACTTCACTCACTCTGCTTCAATTAAAAAAAAAATGAAATCTGACAACTTTGAAAAGCCTAAATTCAATACGACCAATAGTTGACACTACAACAATAAATTTATTTGAAGTCCTTGATACTTTTTTTGGAAGAGTTGTGGGGAGGGGGGCTTGGTAATATGATGATCAAGTGAAAATGAGCAGTGTTATTTTTTTTCTTCAAATAATCTGACAATGTTACTGGAAGTTGGAACTTATTGTAATTCACAGGCATTTATTATTATTATTATATTTTTTTTAATAAAAATAGTCCCTACACAAAAGATCACACCCTACTCTTACAAAAAATACATTGGTTCTTTTTTCAAGAGTAAGGGTGTGATTTTTTTTGTCAGGACTATTTTTATTGACAGAAACATTTGATTTAATGCCTGTGTTGTAATTCCACAAATTAAAATTTAAAGAGCAGGCAATAAGTTACAGGTTCAATATATTAAAATACAGAAAATAAAATCACAAACACATTTTTTATCTGATGGCTTGTTATTTGACTTTATTTGTAATGCAATATTTATGCTTGATCCATGAATAATAAATTGTAATTAAAGTATTTAAAATGAATCATTATATATATATGAACTCTGAATTTAAACCCAGGCAGTGCAATTGTACATTTGGGATTTTTTTTATCAAGCAGACTGTCAATTTGCTAATCTGAACTTTTCATATATACAAATGTTTCATATACAATACAAAATTTGGTAAATCAGTTTGTAGGAATAGTTACGTGAATTTATTTTATGAATTTGTAAAACGAATTGAACGTAGCAATTACGATCTGACGACCAACAACGAAAGCTGTGATCGAAAAATGCCCCTGTCTCCGTAAATTTGACTCTCATTGGGCTTTTATTTATCTGACATTGCTCTTACCATCACTAGGAAGGAGATAACGAATCCTCCGTTTGATGTAATGACCGGCAGACCTTCATCCACAGGGGTTCATTACAATTTAATACAAATGTCCAGAATACACATATGCTACACTGATATGGATCACAGCACACATAAACATACATATCAGTATAGCATATGTGTATTTCAAACATTTGCGATATGATGTGCAGATAACCGATCATGAGGTGACTTGAAGTTCGTGAACGCTGTCGGCTGTCAACACACAAATCCGATTTGTAAAAGAGCGCGAAAAGTTTGGTTGTCGTCAGGGTCAATAAGGCGTTTTGAAGGAAAGCCCTTTGATATGGTTAGAAACGTTTTAATGACCAAGATCCATAATATTTACTTCCGGTTGTAATCGGTGTTTTGAGAAGAGTTTGTGTGGGTTTTCAAGATACATTTGAGAAGACAATCGACACTCACCGGGATAAAAAGCCAGCGTACAGTGTATACAATTTTTAACAGCTGTACAATTCTTACCAAACGTTCCACGCCCTTCTTTCTGATAAGGTTTATATGATTGAAGAATCATGCCAGGACAAACCGCAAGGACTCACAATTAAAATTATATCATCATGATCATGATTGCACCATGGATGACAGTCTGGTAAGCGTTTTTGACTGACACAGCCCTTAAAAGAAAAAGGGTCAATCAGACATGATAATTTCAATTTCTCCTGGAACTCGACAAGGTTAACTAGATCGCGTTGGGTTACAAAACGAGCGAACGTCTTTATATTTTTAAACAAGAATTGTTTCCGTTCAGGAACAGAGGAACAATTTCCACATTGATTTTCGAATGACAATCTTTCTATATGTTACACTCCACAGATACCAAAATGGCTTGAATGCAAAATGTTTTCATTGATTTAATTAGGGGTGTGCAATAATATTGCAGCACTGATATATTAAAATATTTATCTAGCAGTACATATATCGCAATATCATTTTTAGATGGTAATAAGATTGTAACATCATTTTTAAATGTTTCAATTAATTGTTTGGGGGTTTTAGCAAAGTGATGTTATTGAATATTTTTATGTTAATTCCATAATTTGTCCTTTACATGCATCTCAAACTACATGTATCTCAAACCAGATGAACTACATATTTTTCAGAGAGAATGCAGTTATCCCAACAAAGTGGATGAAAGAACTTCTTGTATTCATGCATATGGACTTCAGTAAAGGCTGTAAAGATGTTTCAAGATTTCCAAATGTAATCAAAAAGGATTGAGCATCTAATGCTGACCAATTAGGCCAGTATTGGTCTCGTACAACTGAAACATCACTTTTAGGTTGATATTATTCTGTATACTGTCACTTTCATGTCTATTGTCGTAATGTAATTATTAGGCTACTCTCTGAAAACAGAGTGACATGCAGATTTATCCCCAGGGTATAGGTTGTACTTAGTTACAATGCAGTTTAAATTTTAAAAAACATAGACCTTCTGACACCAGAATTAACATGATGTTGTGGTGTTTATTATGTAGTGTTTCCTTATTTTAGGAGGGATGGTGGAAGTCTAACCAATCTCACTGAACAAATGGTTCATAGCTACATATACCATGATGTGTACAGTGTCAGATATTCTAGACTATTATAATTATACTGACCAAATTGGGCCTTTTAGGACTTTCACAACTAAATCATTTACTATATGTTATTACCAAACATTTTAGCTAATAACTTTAATATTTGAAGTTCAAAACAAGTGACAATTAACTGTCTAGATTCATAAAAACATACCTTGCAAAGGCTACAAAATGACCTTTTTGGTAGGTTTAGTGGCATATTGGAGTGTCACAGCGTCAGGAAGTTGACAACTGGATGTTTACAAGCAAACCCCGTGACCCAAAACAGAAACGCCCCCAGACATTTTGCCCTGTGCAAATCTGCATACAGACAGACATGGAAATATATCAAAAGTATATATTTTTCAAAAGTTAAATACCTGAACATTTCATTTATCTAAAAATCTGTCATCAGTTCCTTATTAAACTCCTTCAGTGGCCGAATGATTAGCCGGAACTTATTTTAGATTGGAACTACAAACATATGAAACACTTGCTGATTGGCTAATTTAGTTGTGCGAGTCCTTTTAAAAAGTCAGTCATGTCTTATACATTCACTATTGCAATTGTTAAGTTTATGTTTTTCCTCAATTATATTTTATTACCATGTGGTCTAATTTGTTTCGTTCCACTGTTTGTACAGGCTTTACATTTCAGTTAACTGATTTTTGTTTGTTTTGCTCTTTTCATTTCTGTTCAATGAAACCACACTATGATTTAAATATGTAATAAACTTGTGGAACTTGAACTCTGGTGTTGTTTTGGGTCTTTCCTCACACTTTAATTAATCAGGAGAAGGTGGGTTGATCAGGAGTTGACTGCAGTTGGCCACTGGTTCTATATTCCAAAATTTGTACAGTTTGTAAAACATTCAAAATTACACAATGCAAAGTCATATTTGTGGCCAACTCTTGTCTCCTGACCCGCCTAAGACATAACATTTACTGCTGGAGGCTTAATTACATACAAATTCATGCCATGACATTATGATGTCATTTGATTGTCATGTCATCAGCACATGGTAATGTCTGTTTTTACATGTAGGCACTTTTTTGTCATGGTCGTGTGTGTGACGTGGTTTATCCAGCAACTGCGCTTCCATTGATTTTAAAATGTTCATACCTAGAACATGCTACATGTATAAGTATACATAATTACAATGTAAACAGCTAAATACAAATTGCTTCTAGTGCTTTTTATATACATTTGTCCCTGACAAATGAACCCAAATAATTCCAAATATTTGAATAAAACACATTGATTGATAAAAAAAACTCAGAATCCAATAAGGATTTGTATGCACCATATGCATGGTAACACCAAATAACTGGTAACTTTGTTATTTGAGTGAGTCCTTGCATTGAGTGTCAGGACCATGAGACACTGTTAAAATATATACTTTATTTATTTTAAAACAATTATGAAACAAGTTCTTTCAAGTTATAATCAATCTTGTTAACCCGGATATTTATTTGCATGAACTTTTTAATCATATGTTTTGAAGAAACTACTATTCATATGATTAAAATATCGTTGGCATACAGAAACCAGGGGAAAAAAATCCATTGAAAATCTCATATATTTTGAAAAAATTTCTAAGTCCAGAATGTTACACCTTGAAATTATTCTAAGTCCAAAATTGCATTTAAAAATGACTAAGTCAAATTTCCGCATATTTTACACACATTTTCCACATCATGATTTCCGCATTTGCGTAAAATATGCATAAAAATAAAAAATCCACATATTTTCCGCATTTTAAAATGACTAAGTCAAAATTCCGCATATTTTACACACATTTTCCACACCACCGTTTCCGCATTTGCGTAAAACATGCGTAAAAATAAAAAATCCACACATTTTCCGCATTTTTTCCACACTCGCGGAACAACTGCGTAATTTGTAGGTAAGGGTTTTGGCTTTAATCTTGAATATTTGCTCGGGTCAGGAAGCAATGGTTTCTGTTTCCATGCCGGAACATACCAAAATAATTAGAAAATGGCAGTTTTATTCATGCTTAACGTTCAGCAATTTAGGAAATTGCAACAACTGGATCACCTGTAGTCTGTACATGATGTGACCAGGCAGAGTGCAATGCTGGGTGCATTGGGCATAGTATTTTAGTAATATAACACTATAAAGTCAGCATCAGATATGTGCTGTCGCATAGAGGCAAGCCAATTAAACCAAAAATCCTTGCCCCCAGCACACATACTCACTTACACACATGCAAGCATATGTCCATACATTATGTATATAAATATATAACACCTTTATTGAATTTGAAATAAATTAGTGTGAGTCACAACTCAAGTATAAAGAATATTTACTATGACTCCTCCTAGAAAGACATCACTCATTCACGTGGATATTCCCATTCTGTACAGCTAGGCAGACTAGAGCTGTGTTACCCTCCAAGTCTCTCGGATACAAATAATAAACACTTATCGTTGTGTTAACTGTTGTATTAGTCCTCAAGGGTTAACATAGACGTGTGCCTAGCTCAAAGGCCTCATCTAGGACTGCCAAATAACATAGATACAGTGTAATATCATATCACATCATTATCAGGTGCAAATAGGCAGGCAATACAGTTCAGCATCCCTTGACCCCGACAGGTCATGATCATATACTAAGCCTTATCTGACATAAGAAATTAATTCTATGGCCAGCACCGGTGCACTGACAGCCAGCAATTAATTTTATACCTCTCAACTATGGGACAACAGGAAACTCTATAATTGAACATAAAAATTGTCTCAATTACACTTGGTCATTAATTTTATCTCAACAAGCTGTAATGGTTATTCCCCTGTCAATGAGTGACTATGCACAAGACAACTCTTATAGAGATGTCAGTCCTCGTAAATTTACTTTCCTGGATGCCGATTCCAACCTTTACAACTGGGTACACCAGTAAAACCAAGGTAACATACATATAAATGTATTACTCAAGTATACTGCACCCTTGTAAACCAGTTTACAACTTTGATTCATATTTATATGCCATGGTGTTTAATATAAATATCTCACATGACAAAAATTCACATCATTGGCAAAATGGATGTTCAATGGCTATTTTGAAAAATGACATTTAGTTATTTCAGTTATACTGCACTGAGGAACCAATGGTGGTCAGTTATACTGCACTGGAGAACCAAGGGTGGTCAGTCTTACAAGGTTGAAGAATTATTTGTTTCTCCAAGTTACACAGGATTGAAGTACCACTGTCTGGTAAGGGTGTTGGAAGGTGCTGGCATCTGAACCGCAAGAGAGTTGACATCATACATATTTGCAACACGTCTATTGACCTGGAAAAACAACAGGAGAAATGTTCTTTAACAAGACTTTCCTGAAAGCATATATCCTCTATTGCTAGTCTACTCCATAAATTGGTACCAAATTAGGTATTGTTGATACGGTGAACGACATGTATAGAGGCAAATGATATCACAATGCAAGCAAGGAATTTGTTTTTGTTGAAAAAAATGCATGTCTCTTATGAATGTGCACCTAATATGTTGGGTGACTGTGCTAGTACAATTTAAGTCTCATTAATATATCTATAGCACTTTAAAAATGAAACCCAGATTTCAGAGAAAATTAAGCACTACTTTGACCTTGAGATGAAGGTCACAGTTGACAATTAGGTGAAAGTCACAGTGACAAATTAATGTGATCTTTTGGTTTCATGAATTTAACAATTTAAAAACTATAGCTCAGACAATTTTTAGCATATATTTTATTCTTGACCTTGAAATTAACCTAACTCTATGAACAATACACTTCGGCCCAGGTGAGCTAAAAATCAGCCGCAAATTGACCCTAGCTGACAGGAATGTGGGGATACTTTTTCACCTTTCAACTTATGTTTTGGTTTTCAGGGTTCATGTATTACATTTTCAAATAGAAATCCTTTTGATAATGGATAGAAAGGTGACCTGGGTGACATTAACCAAAGGGGGTTAAGTCGACTGCCTCTATTCAGGTCATGTGACCGGTCAAAGGGACATACAGTTCAGTACTGTGTGTCAGCCGCATAGGAACCAGCTGGTGATACCACTCTTTGCTGTGATGTATTAACTTCATTTTTGGTAGGGAACATTTTTGTATGGACTTGAAATGGGTAGACATTATTAAAGGGACAATTTAGTGTAGTAATTTTTTTATAACCTACTTATAAAATTCTTCATGAAATATAGTTTGATACATGTACTCCTTGTGAACAAAACATGTCGAGAAATTGACAAGAGACAATGTTTTCTTTTCAGTAATGAAGAAAATCTTAACCCCAAGATACAAGAATATTTATTTTCCGTCAATTTTGCAAAACATACAACATAAGCTACAAAGAGCTTGTATTTCGACAACTGTGCAACCGTACGTTTTATTGGTACATGTATAACTGTCGGTGAAATGTGTCTTTCCTAATTCCCAGCTGTTAAGAGAATATAAACGGGTAATTAATTTTTAAGTTTAACCTACTGATATCGAGCATGATATGATTCTCAAGAATGGTACAAACTCTCGGGCAAGTCGATGGGCAAGAAAACTATTACAAAAAAAAAACATGCGGTAATACGATGCACTTAATGTAAAAATACAAAACTGTGCATGCATAGCGTCACCCAAGGAGATTAACAAAAAACACTTTTATACGTTCCTATTTTCGTAAAACCAATATAAAATGGGTTGAGTACACATCGCCATTGTTAAAGGTGTAAGGGACTAACCGACAGAGGAGTAGGCTTTTGTTGCATTATTGATAGTTCTAGGACAGGCAACCGGTCGATTCAAAATCAGGGCAAAATGTGAAAATAAACGAGTGCGCTTGCATGGCGTCACCCAATTTTTTTTACTTCAAAATTGAAGAGCAATGCATTACACTCACACGTGACAACAACAATTAATGCGATAGAACGTCTTCTTTCCCCATTCGGGCCTATTCCCGTAATCAGAATCGAATCATTGCCATGACTCAGCGTATTCCAATGATGAGTCATCAACTCACATTTAGACAAATAAAGGACATAAACAGTCAAATGTCCTTAGGACATATGCAATGATCAGTTAATGAAACAAGAGGCCCAATGGGCCTGCATCGCTCACCTGTTATTAATCTAACACTTGTAATCTTAAGATTTCATAAGAACCTATTAAAAGATTTAAACATACGACACCTCTCACCTTGATTGTCGAACAATAGGCGATTTGAAATCAGAACTTACATGGAACGGACCTTAAATTGAACAACTACATTTTCGTAATAGTATGGGGAAACGCACCGAGATGTCGAAACGTAATGTTGTAAGTTGATCGGCGATTCTCTGGCATAGGAATTTGGCTAAACTTTCTTTGTTAACGGTTACCTATTTAATAATACTTTTCACATAAACTCAGATAACAACACATTATGTATCTTTTATTAATGTTTGACATAAATAAGTTTGTTGACCGTCATTTGTCTTTAGAGTTTCGTGTACCAAGGGAGATAATCCAAGATGGCGATCTCCCAGAATCATCATTCTTTTCCTGAAAAAAACTTGAAATTTTCTATACCTGTGTATTTTACGCACCCCCCACTTTGGGTATTAAATTTCTGAAAAAAAAGTGCGCAAATTACATGGGTTTTTACGGTAGGTTGAAAGTGGATCAAGGTCATTCATTTGAACTAACATGGTAGTCCTTCATCCCAGCATGCTACAGGCCCAATTTCAGTACCCTGGCCCTTTTGCTTATTGAAAAGAAGTCGCTTGAAGATTTTACGATATTTGACCCCTGTGATCTTGAGAGTTGGTCAAGCTCATTCAGTTGAACAAACTTGATAGTCCTTCAACCCAGCATGCTACAGGCCAAATATCAGTACCCTGGGCCTTTTGGTTATTGAGAAGAAGTCGTTTGAAGATTTTACGACATTTGACCCATGTGACCTTGAAAGTGGGTCAATGTCATTCATTTAAACAAACTTGGTAGCCCTTCATCCAAGAATGCTACAGGCATAATATCAGTACCCTGGACCTTTTGGTTATTGAGAAGAAGTCGTTTGAAGATTTTATGACATTTGACCCCTTTGATCTTTGAAAGTTGGTCAAGGTCATTCATTTGAACTAACTTGGTAGCCCTTCATCCGAGCATGCTACAGGCCGAATTTCAGTACCCTGGCCCTTTTGCTTATTGAGAAGAAGTCGCTTGAAGATTTTACAACATTTGACCCCTGTGACCTTGAAAGTTGGTCAAGGTCATTTATTTGAACTAACATGGAAGTCCTTCATCCCAGCATGCTACAGGCCCATTATCAGTACCCTGGGCCTTTTGGTTATTGAGAAGAAGTCGTTTGAAGATTTTACGACATTAGACCCCTGTGACCTTGAAAGTTGGTCAAGGTCATTTTATCATGAATTGAAATTCGGCCTGTAGCATTCATTCAGTACCCTGGCCCTTTTGGTTATTGAGAAGAAGTCGTTTGAAGATTTTACGACATTAGACCCCTGTGACCTTGAAAGTTGGTCAAGGTCATTTATTTGAACTAACATGGAAGTCCTTCATCCCAGCATGCTACAGGCCCATTATCAGTACCCTGGGCCTTTTGGTTATTGAGAAGAAGTTGTTTGAAGATTTTAAAGACATCTGACACCAGTGTCCTTGAAAGTGGGTCAAGGTCACTCAATTGAACAAACGTGGTAGCCATTCATCCCAGCATGCTACAGGCCCAATATCAGTACCCTGGGCCTATTGGTTATTGAGAAGAATTTGTTTGAAGATTTTAACATATTTGACCCCTGCGACCTTGAAAGTGGGTCAAGGTCATTTATTTGAACAAACTTGGTAGTCCTTGATCCGAGCATGCTACTGGCCATATATCATCTTCCTAGGCCTTTTGGTTACGGAAAAGAAGTTGTTTAAAGCAAAAAGTTGACGCCGGACGCCGGACAGACGGACGGACGAAGGACGCTGCACCATAACATAAGCTCACTTGCTCTTCGGGCAGGTGAGCTAAAAAATTAAGCAGAGCAAAACTCACATTGATAATTTTGCACTTTTGTCCGTAACTACTATCTCATAGTTGTCTCCCTTCCAACAGTATCTTTTTTAATTGTAGGGGAATATAGCATAAAGATTTTATTCTTACTGAAAATAATTGAAAAGTGTAAACTGAAATGTTAACAACATTATCAGGATATTTGATTAAGTTAGTATTTCTTACATATACTATGAACGAAGTGCTACAAAGTTTGTCTCTCTTGCATTTTCAGTAACGGAGGTTACCGCCAGACGTCACAAATTCCGTACATCCGCTGGAAAGAAATTACTGATGTCACACCCGATAGGTGATCTCAATACGGCAGGCGTTATAAATGCCTCCGTAAAAATCATGACTTATTTACAGAAAAGCTTCATTATAAGTGATATAACAAATTCAAACTGCTTCATACCTCTCTCATCATAATGTCAATATCATGAGCTGATGCTTCCTCTCTGAAAACCTCTACCAGTTTCTGAACAAACCAGCTGCCTTCCTGTGTGTTTCTGTAGGATACATGTCCTGAAGGATATCAAAAATAAACATAAAAAATACAAAAGTCAGAAAAACAACAAAATTATCTGTACAAGTTCTCACTATTGGGAAATGGTGGTAGACGAATGCTTGGATTGATCAAAAAGGGTCATATAATGGCTTGACTGATGACAAATCTATAGATTACATGTTTCAATCATCATACTGTGAACGACAGACATGAGTTAAAAAACTTATCTGATCTCTGAACACACCAGCTTGGATTTTTGTTTTCCATGATGATAGTTTTGGTCAGAGGTTGGTAACTATTTGTCAGTAAAGCTATCAGAAAGTATTTAAACTTAAATCTGAATAGATTTCTCCTTTTAAGGCTCCGTCCCGCTGTCAATGGTGGTTAAACCTGCCTCATTAATATAAGAAATGATTGTTTCTAAATGATGTTTTATACTGAAATTGTTGTAATCTACTTTTGGCATTAACGAGTAAATTAAGGTGGGATAATGGCTTTTAGTGTCTGTCTCTAAGCCAGATTTGGCTGGATGTCGATATCCGATTGATTTATATTTTGAAACAGCTTTTACTTTCTGTAAAATCTGTTGTTTTATGGTATATCGATATGTGACACTTACTTATAAATTGTATTGTATTGTAATAATATGTTAAGACATTTAATCTGAAATTCCCTATTATTTTGATAAAGTCTATGATAGATGAAGTGGAAACAAGTTTATAAATAAATAAAATTGAACACAAAAATATCAATCCTATGTATACGTTCATATTCATATGGTAAGACACTTTATAGTACAGACTATAGTTTACCTGTAATTAAATCCTATTGTTCTCTAACTGACACCCAATCTCACCTAGCATACACCCAACATCTTACCTGTATATAGGAAAATACCAAATGTATGCTCCGTGAGACGACACCCTCCAGACTAAATTAGGATAATATCCCTTAATCCCTATGGTAGAAGAAGGATTATAAAGGTTTTACCTATATTTCCCTTTTGAACCTCGCCCGTCAGGCCCCTGAGGGGCCAGACCCACGGTTTATACAAAATTGGTTCCCCTTCACCAAAGGATGCTTCAGACCAAATATGAAACAAATCCTTTCATTCCTACAGAAGAAGGATTTTTAAAGAATTTGTTATATTTCCCCTATTGGGCCCCGTCCCTCAGCCCCCAGGGGGGCCAGACCCACTGTTTATACAAAATTTGGTTCCCCTTTACCCAAGGATGCTCCACACCAAATATGGACCAAATCCTTTCACTCATATAGAAGAAGAAAGATTTTAAAGAATAATTTGCAATGTTTCCCCTATTGGGCCCCGCTTCTCAAGCCCCTGGGGGCCCAGACCCACGGTTAATACATAATTGGTTCCCCTTCATCCATAAATGCTTCAGACCAAATATGGAACAAATCCTTTCATTCCTACAGAAGAAGGATTTTAAAGAATTTGCTATATTTCCCCTTTGGGCCCCACCCCTCAGCCCTCAGGGGGCCAGACCCACCATTTATACAACATTGGTTCCCCTTTCCTCAAGGATGCTGAAGACCAAATATGGAACAAATCCTTTCATTCCTAAAGAAGAAGGATTTTAAAGAATTTTCTATATTTCCCCTATTATGCCCCGCCCCTCAGCCCCCAGGGGGGCCAGACCCACCACTTATATAAAATTTGTTCCCCTTCCCCTAAGGTTGCTTCTGACCAAATTTGGTCAAAATCTGCCCAGTCGTTCATGGCTAGTAGTGTTTTAAATGAAAAGTTGACGGACGGACGGACAGACGGATGGACGGACAGACGGACGGACGATGGACGACGGACGCTGCGGTATGGCAGGTGAGCTAAAAAAAACAAAATTATATATATGGTATAGTTGAACTGGGTTGATGGTCCATGACCAGGAAGCTCAATTGGTAGAGTGTCCATGACCAGGAAGCTCAATTGGTAGAGCGTCCATGTAGAGTTCGGAAAGTCTGGGTTAGAATCTGGTCTAACTGGGTTGATGGTCCATAACCAGGAAGCTCAATTGGTAGAGTGTCCATGACCAGGAAGCTCAATTGGTAGAGCGTCCATGTAGAGTTCGGAAAGTCTGGGTTAGAATCCTGGTCTGTCCTGTTCTGAAAGAGAAAACCTTACAAAAATTCATTGCACAGACTCACACATGCTGAATCTTTAGGTCAATAATACAGTACTAAAAGTACCTGGGAAAGTTGAATAAGCAATGTAGAGATCCTTGAACGATGGATTTGTTTCTGGTAATGCCAATGGTGTTGTGGGTTGAACATCAGGGACATTTCGTGGAAGGTGGTGCCTCAAATCTGTTTCTGAATTGCCTCTAGTTAAATGGTTGCCAATGGTATTAAAATGGTTTCCTACATCAAGTGCCCCTGTGAAAAATATTATTTTCTTAAAATAATGTATATTGCACATCACCACGTTTTCCTGTAGTCAAATGTACATTTTGTATTTATAAGTACTTAACTTAGTACTTGTTTCCGAATCGTTGTTGATTAATTATTGAAAATATAATGTATTGTATATTACCAAAAATAAATACAGTTTAAACTAAATGTAAATTTTGTAAATATTTTATTTTCTTAAATAAAAATTATAGACTCAGATAATTAGAATTGTAACCTCTCTTGAGTTGGGTAACCGTTAAATTTAGTTACTGAAATTGCCAATGGTATTAAAATGGTTTCCTTCATCAAATTATTGAAATTTTTATGTACATATCAAAGATAAAAAAACACCACTTTGAAACGTTGGAGCTAGCTGATGAGGAAGAGATTCTTTTAATAGTAGGAAAGAAGGACAAGCAATACATGTTAACCCTTTCATCACTGTAGACCATAATGGACTCATCCCAATAAATGCATGGTAGAGTCTACTGAAGTTACCTAGGGGTGAAAGGTTTAAACAGTGTTTTGTTGCTGAGGTACATTGTAGAACAGATATTCTCTACTGTAGAAACTTATACACCTACCTCCTCTGCAAGAATTCAATACAAATAGTTTGGGTTTTCCTATCAGAGCTGGACAGGACTGTGGACCAAATATCTTGAAAGCATCATTAAGGAGGTTGAGTGCTACACCATCAGTTCCATACACTTTTCCGCTATCTCCATGACACAGGAAACATATAACAAGGGAGTCAACTCTAGGCAAACCATCAAATCGTGTTAGCTTTTCAAGCTGTCGTTTCATTTCCTATAACATACATTTTAGGAATATCACATGAACCTGGTTAAGACAGTTTCATAATGTCACAATAAGGTTTTTAATCACTAAGATTTTATTTCCAAAATTAATTACAACATTTTCATTCTACAAATACATATACTTATAGTAATTAAAGGAGAAAGCAATGTGCATTAATAATTTTGCTGAAAATGTAGAAAATTTCATGATAAATAGGATTAAAGAACTATATTGGGCTAACGAGCATGTCAGAATTTAAATAACGTCTTATTTGGTAATTTTCATAAGGAATGAGATAGGGACATTATTTGCTTTATTATACACCTTGTCAGAATACACAGGTGCCCCATTAGACAGGTTTCAATGTATATGTAAGCACCTAAAGGCAGTTCTTTTTATCCAACTGATCATACAAAAATAAGTAAGATAAAATATGAAAGGACTGATTCTAGAAATGGGTTGATATTTTAAAAACTTTTCTTAAAAGTAATATAATGCGAACATAAATGCATTTTATTTTATTATCTTTTTGTGATTTGTTATCTATTTAGATTTCATGATATCACTTTGAAATTATTTTCTCTATCTCACCAAAATAAAAAGGTACTTTTTAATGGTACGCACCATTCCTGGCAAATCATTCTTGATATCAACCCAAAAGTTGAGCTGCTGGAACAGGTCCCGAAGCTGATCTCGGTCAACATCAGTCCCAGTACGACAGGACATAGTCCTATAGTTCTTGTTGTTAATGATGAGACACAAGCCCCTGGGGTCCGATTCCATTTTGTACTTCTAAATTTAAAATAAATGGATAATATTGTTGAAGAAATATTTAGAAAATGAAATTGGTTTAAATGCCAAATAAATATGTAATAAATTAAATATATTAATACATAATATTGATAACATATCAAAGTCAACTATTTACAATTGAGTTTTTTAAAAGTCAAGGTAGAGCCCATACTAAGGTACTTTATTTTCTAAATGAAATTTTGCTCTATGTACATTATATAAATAATTGTTTTAGATCAGAATTTTAATTAATTTTTCACACACCCTCTCTAATGCGACTCTCTGATATGCGCTCTGTGCTGGTGGTGCTGGCTGTGCAGGTTCTGCAAAAAGTAAACCTTCATCATGAAATATACTTCAAGCAATAATATATTTTCTTCAAGTTTAGTTCTATAAAGTATTCATAATTCAAGGAGTAAGATAACTCATAATTGATACATATGATCAAAGAGATACTTTTTTTATAGAAAAAGGCATCTTCCAGAAAGTATCTTTCCTGCTGTTTATCTTATTTATTGTTCACACGGAAATATATAACAATACCAATTACTTATGTCACTACATCATGAAGCTATTTTATGTATCAAATAATCTATACATGTATACCATTATTATAATAATTATGTAATATGATGTGATTAGACATTTATTCATACGGAAATTAAATCAACTGCTTTCTGGGGATGAGAGAATTGCAGTCTCTGAACTACGGGAGAATAATTGGCTTAGTACAGGGCTTTCTCAAGCAGGTTCGACTGTACGTACCAGATGCTGATGGTGGTTGAGCCAGTGCTGGTTGACTTCGACTGTACGTACCAGATGCTGATAGTGGTTGAGCCAGTGCTGGTTGACTTTGACTGTACATACCAGATGCTGATGGTGGTTGAGCCAGTGCTGGTTGACTATCTGCCACCTCCATCATATCCTCATTTCGCTGACCAGAAGCTGCTTGGCCAAGGGTCACATGGCTATTTCCAGCCATCTGATTGGCTAGCCCTTGATTGATACTAGTACCCGATGGGGCCAATAAACTCCCATACGGGTTATTTTCCTGGGAGGGCTGGAATTGTTCGGTAGGGTATCCTTGTGTCTGAGTGTATAAACCCTGTGGGGCCTGAACCTCAATGTCTCCCATTGTGTGCTCTGGAAGCGTAACCTGGCCATGCTGGCGTGTATAAACAGTGCTGGTTGATTGCCCTTCTCTCTCCTGACACTCAACTGCCCTAGGAGGAACTGGTAGCCCCCTCAATTGGTATTCATTATCCTCCACAGCATTTGCCAAATGCTCATGTCCAGAGTTTCGTAGACATTTTAAAAAGATTGCATAGGCTTTGGGCCCCCTTCTAATCAAGTTGTCTAAAAGACGTCGAACTTTATCAGCTCTTGACCTTTCAGCCTGAAATACATTTTTAAGAAAATTTCAATACAGCACTCTAGTAGCTGGCCCCCTTCTATTTGCTGATTTGTGCTATTTCCGCTCTTTGTTATTTTGCATTATAAAGGGAGTTATACAACTAGAGCTGTCACCAGGATGGCTGACTAATACCCCCGCTTCCGCCAAGTTATGTATGTTTGAGAGTTCAATATACTTCAAGGTGTTTAGCAGGATAAATAATATTTTTGTTAAAGGGTCAAAACTTCCACAAAAATAACTGAATGCAAATATCCTTTCTTCTGTGTAGCTGAAGTGACAGGTCTCACTATCTTGTAAGCTTTCACAAAGGGCGCCACATGTACACCTCCATTAAAAAGTGTCGAAACACAAAATTAAAATGTTGGTGCACAGGAGTTGTACAGAAAACAAAATTAAAATGCCGGTGTACAACTACATAAGATACTGATAATTCATGCAAAGTTTCAATGAAATCCACCTGTTAGTTAAGGAGGAGTTTTCCGGACAAGTTACAGCACACGACAGACAGACATCCATACAGGGTGATTCCAGTATACCCCCCCCCCCCAACTTTGTTGCGGGGTATAATCAGTATCAGCTTTTACTATCGCCTTTGTGTTGCGAAAGAACACCTATAAGCATTCGTTTGCCATCATTCCCCGTTATCTTGGTTTAATAAAATCATTGCAATGTTTTTCACTATTAGTTTTTAAACCTTAGTAAAGTTGACAGATGAAGTAACTCTTTCATTCAAGACATCCTAGAAAAAGCTGTTAGACCTTCAAAACACTTTTTGGATTGGAAATTGCAATTGTTTACCACACTAGCTGTTATAGAAAAACACACTTAATCAACCGTCTGTTAAATTACAATTGTTTTTTACCACACTAGTTGTGATAGAAAATCACACTTAATCAACCGTCTGTATAAATTACAATTGTTTACCACACTAGTTGTGTTAGAAAATCACACTTAATCAACCGTCTGTATAAATTACAATTGTTTACCACACTAGTTGTAAAAGAAAATCACACTTAATCATCCGTCTGTATAAATTACAATTGTTTACCACACTAGTTGTGACAGAAAATCACACTTAATCAACCGTCTGTATAAATTACAATTGTTTACCACAATAGTTGTGATAGAAAATCACACTTAATCAACCGTCTGTATAAATTAGAATTTTCAATGAAGACATGCATACCTGTATGTCCTCCGACATTAATGGGGTAAATATGCCTTCAGACACCAACAGGTCTTGTAAATCCCCGCTAGGATCAAGGTCACGGACAAGCGTTGTCCGTGTTTTCTGTAGAGCTTTTCTGTGGTTGTTTTCCATCACAGGTTACTTAACAACACTGAACATCTGAAACATGCAAAAACAATTACATAGTTGTAGGATTATGTCAATTAATTCTTTATCATTCACCCCTAAAATTTCATAATGAACTACTCCAACCTTTGAATTGGAAGAGTTCAAATGTGTCTTCATGGGTGAATGAGTTAAAAACTATTATTGGGTCAAAGTAAAATTTCACAAAAAAAGGGGAAGACATGTTTGAGATGGAGATATGGTGATTGATTGATATGGAGGTGTTCCTGCTTCCCAATAAACACTGTGCAAGCCCTCCAAGCTAAGCTTCATGTTCACCAACGCAAATCAGTTGGCATAGTGAACTAAGCACACATACTTGCCTGTGACCAAGACTAGGTAGGTATTACCTGATCTTTTGATATTTTTCAGGAACAAACTTTTTTCTTTCTTTTCTAAGTTCAGTGCATATATCACTTACAATCAAAGTAAAAGTTAAACAAAAAGTGTGATTTGGGTCATACCTGAATAAAAAAAATATTGAAATTCTCTGCTCCTAAGATGGAAACACACTTCATTTTATACAAAATTGTAGTCAAAATCTTTTTTGCCATTCTGGAAAAGTAATCTTTTATAGGAGTAGTTGATGACGGAAGATGGACAGACATTGCAATGGCAAAAGCTGACTTGACCCTTCTGATCAGATATCCTAGGATATCCAAGTTTTAGGAAACAAGGAAGCAATCCAACCCTACAGTAAGCCAATCAAAAGAGATGAAAAAAGAACCCAATAATCGAAGTTTTGGAAATACACCAGCTCGAAAAAAGGTTAAGGATGAGACAAATTCTTAATGAACGCATGTTTACTCTACTCACGCTAATCTGATACATCTTCAGCAGCCCTTACAGGCAAGGTCGGCCAGACAATAGGTGTGCTATCATTACACCTGCTGCTGAGGCTTACAGAAAAGACTGTGAATGAAAAAAAAAAAAATATTAGAAGAGTCTGAAAAAAGAAAAAAAGACAATTAAAAACAACAAAATAAGAAAGGAAATAATAATTTAATGAACATGCTTATGTGTAACCCGAGTTTCCTCTGGCCCGACACAAGACCAAAACACAGCCTGCATGTCAACCATTTAAAGCGTCAATTACACCCGTCCGTGATGGTGAACACCTATCCACTCCAGAGGTCTCACAACGTTACTTCGACGCTGGAAGCCTGCTGCGTTCGCCTTCCAAAACATCACACAACAACATGATTACCATCATTATTGTATCTCACTTATTCCTCAAATCGATTCCATGTCTCCCCTAACTTTGCTGTACTTCTGGCTGACCAACATTCGTCCAAAGCATCAATCAGTGTTATGGCTGACACCAGACAGTACATGAGAATTCTACTCCTACTAAGTGGACAGATAGAACTCAACCCTGGCCCGTACATGCCAAAGTACCCTTGTGTGTTAATTATGTGGATTGGCATTCAAATGGGGCCAACGAGGCCTAGCATGTGATAATTGTGACAAATGGAATCACGTTTCTTGCATGTCTATGTCATCAGGAGAATATGATATTCTAGCCAATAAGTCAACAGTCTGGTCGTGCATCAAGTGTGATTCATCAAACCATACCACTCTTATATTACAACACGTTGAGTGCCAGCAGCAATGCTTTCACCAGTTTGAACAGCATTACGGAGGATAGAATTACATCTCCAACTGTTACCAGCTTTAATATAGGTACGCCATTAGCATCCTCCTCACCAAAAACATCCACCAACAAAACAACGCCAACAAATATCAACTCAATGAGACTACTAAGAACAAATCTGTACTCGTATCCTCCTTACGTAGGGACTGGGCCTACCATAAAGTCAAGGCTTCAAAAAAGAACCGGGATTGGAAAAGGTACCGCACCCTAAAAACTGAGGCAAAGAGAAACATCCTAACAGTCCACTGCCGAAAACTACAGACCGGTATCACTGACTGAAATTTGCGAAGAAGACGCTCTTGTGAGACACAACTAATTGAAGACCATTGACGACCTTGCCAATGGCTTGGATGCTGGAAAACAGATGGACATCATACCTCTGGATTTTTCCAAGGCCTTCGACAAAGTCACACACCAGCAACTCCTCACCAAACTTCACCACTACAGAATCCAGGGGACCTACATACACGGATTGGGAACTTTTTATACGACAGGAAGTAACAAGTCACCATAGAAGGGAGTGAATCATTGGAAGAGGACGTACTATCAGGAGCACCCCAAGGCACTGTGATTGGCCCCCTTATCTTCTTGTTTTATATTAACGACCTACCGACCAATCAGCTCTGCCAGAGACAGCGCCAACCTGCAGGCCAACCTCAACACTCTCCATGAGTGGACATGCGACTGGCACATGGCTTTCAACTCAGATGAATGCGTCGTCATGCACACAACAGGAAGAAAAAACAAGTGGAACACCATTTACAACTTGAACGGTGTAAATCTAGCAGAGATCAAGAGCATCAAATACCTGTGTTTCTATCTGCAATGACCTCTCCTGGCACGACCACATCAGTACTAACTCATCGAAGGCAGCGCGATCTGAAGGTTTCCTTCGAAGGAACCTGCTTGCTTGCCCTCAGGAAGTTAGGTCAAGGATGTATACCACTCTTGTCCGACCCATAATGGAATACGCTGGAGCGGTATGGGACCCCTACCTAGCCCAACATACTGACAAGCTGTAGAGTCCAAAAGCAGGCAGCCAGATTTGTGGCCAACAACTACTCCTCCAGAGAAGAAGGCATTATCTGTATGCTGGACCATCTCGGATAGGAACCAATACCTGTCAGGAAAGCTAGAGCCGTGGCAACATTGTTGTACAAGATCATCAATAATGTTGTGGAAGTCAAGTTTAGCCGAAAGATCCGTCAGGACCTGTACCATCACTACCTGGTACAACATCCCCAGTGATATTAAGGCCGCAGCTACAGAGGAGAGCTTCCAGTCCTCATTACAACCAGATGATCTCACAGGGAGGCACCACTGAGACCACCACTGAACCAAGGACCTCGATCTGAACCAGTTTTTATCCATAGCTACTATTGGCACCTGAATAGAAGCTTTTAAATTATCACTTAAAAAACCAATCCCGTACATGTAGTCTCATGTCTGCCAACACCCGACTGATGTCAGCTGGACCAGAGGAAACTTGGGCTAACTTTGCATATCAAGTAGAAGCCGAAACGTACATGCGCAGATAATATACTGAACAATGTAGAAATGAACCGATATTATACATTATTAGGTAACTTACCATTAACTTTATCAGTTATATATATCAAAATAAACTGAAAACGAGGAGACAGATCCGTTTAAAGGCGCCCTGATTTAGTTTTGATGCCCTCTTTTCGTTTTATAAAGAGTACATCTGTATGTAGTCTGGATTACAACATCAACGGGCTTATGGCCTTTCCCGACATCAACAATGTTAACATTCCCGAAACTCGGCCCGCATATATTCATTTAATAGGCAGAGCCGATGACACTCAACTGTTATTCAAAGTATAAAAAAAAAAGGTATCAAAAAGTCATAAGAAGAATGACAATAAAATCACTGGGCACATGCATTGATTATATGTATGTCTCTTTTAGGTAAAAACAGAAAGAAAAAAAGTATTTAGTAATAGGCTAATCGTTTCAACCACATTAGTGAAAGCTTTCAAGCTCGGGGATTTCCAGGAAAATATCGCAGTCGTTCTTACGCTTAAACGGAAAAGGTTATACTGGGTTAATAAGAAGCGTCTTAGTGATGCCTACTTTCGTTTCCAGCGATGCCATGTTCAGCGAAAGAATATAGGTAAGTGACCAGGTTATCAATTGTTAATATTATAACAACAAAGCATGAAATCTGAGCTAGTTAGTAACACTATGAAATGATCATTTGCTCACCATTAATATTGGTGTTATCGCCCTACGGTCAAGATATTTGAGATCACAAAAACAAAACGATTTCTAGCACGATATCCGTATATACGGGGAAACCAGATTCGTCTTTTGTTAGTTTCAGAGGCGGATCCAGAGACCTATCCCCCCTTTTTTCAAACACCAACCCAGTTTATTTGACTCCTCGGCAAGGGTTCTCCTACCTTGAACGGGGAGGGTCAACAGCCCCAATTTGTAATAGGACGAGGAAAAATGATAAAGATAGTGCCGTCGCTGGGGCTCGAACCCGAACCTGCAACCGTTGGCTTTCCAGCCTGATGCTCTACAATTGAGCTAAAGGGAAATCCCTACAGCTGACGCTTGAAAGGCAACCTGATTAATCCACATCTTTTACGCATGTATGTAGTGGGATAATCATGATCAGCAGGCATATTCTTTCTCCAAAAGCATGGGTTAATTGCATGAGATGAAAATACATAAATTTACCAATTAAAGCACATAGATTTCTTTCTTAAAAATTTAAGTGTTGAGGTAATTTATTTTACTGCAGATGATAAACAGTAAAGTATGATCATATGTCAATATGTATAATATGCCAAAACAAGGCCATATCAGTGTTTGCTGTCATTGCAAGAACTTAAGTTTCAATACATCAATGAGTGCACTTCCCGCTATTATATTAAACCCTTGTTCGAGTTCATTTAGAGTCCCATTCATGTGTCACCCAGGCAAAATACTAGCTGCTTCCTAATGACTTGGCTAGGGAGAATTTCTCTTTAGCTGAATATGGTAGAATGTAAGGCTAGTAAACCAGGAATCCCAGGTTCGATCTCTGTTACATATGTATAGTTCTTAGCATATTGATGTATTGGAATGATTCCATAAAACAGTAACAATACAAATACTATGGATCTGTCATATCCAGGGCAACTTTAAAGACTAAAGTTACCTGCTTTGAACCACAGGTGTGCAAGAGGTGATGTTATAGAAGTATTCAAGATAGCCAGTTTTGTTTATTGAAATATGGAAAACTCCCTTTCCCTATGAGTAGTAAATTAAATCATAGAACACTTTTCTACAGGGTTTGGTATATATCCCGAGCCCTATCAATAAACAAATTTAAGAACAGGCTTATTAACACTGGATTGATTAGAAACTGCTTCATTATTATAAACTCTTGTTTGTTAATCATTTGGTGTCAATATCTGAACATTGATAGACCTGTGTGTGTACGTTTTGTATACTTTGAAAACATGTTTGAGTGACATGTAGAGGATCATACAGAACCTGCATCGGAAAATATACTTGACTAACTAATCTGATCCAAACTAAACTATCTGAATCATCCCTAAATGACAGGATCATATATAACTGTTCCTTTGCTCATAAGTCTGTTTCCTCTTTGTTCGTTATCAGGTCACCACCACATGTTGTTCCTTTTCATGCCAACCCAAAAATCTGTACGAAAAGTGGAAGATTCTCAAAGTCTAAACTTATTCACTGCTAGATTCACATTCCTGGTTGGTGTAATTGTATCATCGGAAAGATAGATTTATATAATATTTCTTTCACTAACTTTCGATAATCAAACACAATTTATTCCCTGATGCAGGCATTATTTCTCTGGCCCTGACACCAGACTTTATACATTTTGACAGATAGATGTCTAGCCCACAGCAGAGAAAACTCAGGCTATTTATTGGAATGTAAAAAAAATGTGTAGGTCATGCTGCATATACCTTCTACTTTTTGCATATTCATGATGTCTACATCAACTTTACTGATGGATGACAGAAACACACTCTGAGTCAATGTCCGGTTGTTTTAATTCTATATTTTTGACATATATCACTTTATGGTTGACATCACTACAGGTGGAAGGCTTCAATTCAAGGGTCGACACTAACATTAGTCCGCTAGTCCTGGACTAGTAGATTTCAGCAAGGACTAGTGAATGACCTAACCTAACTGGTCCTTTGGACTTGTGAAAAATATGACTATGAAATAAGAATATTCCTTTCAAAAATTTAGAAAACTGCTTAAAATAAGATATATTGCATGATAATTGTCAAAATTTTCCTAAAACTTCACCATATTTTTATGGCAGTAGTTATTTTAAGTCTCCTATAGCTACAGTTGATTACTTTTGATGTTTCGTGCCGTAGATGGCAATGTTTCCTTATCAGGAAATCATTGAATTGGTTACATTGACGAAGGACTAGTAAAGAATTAATTCAACTAGTCCTGGCTGTGGACTATATTACCAAGCAAAAATAGTTCTGGTCTAACCCTGGTCAGTGCATATTCAGATATCCTGGCATCATGTCATTGAGCTGGAGAATCGTAATCCATTGTAGAATTCAGACATTTATATAACATAAACATTATATCATGTCTGCATCTTCAGTAAATGTTTACATCAACAAACATCCAAAAGAACATTCCTAGGAACTTCTAGTCTAAAGTCATGATATTTATCCCATAGCTTACTTGTTCAGCTATCCAGAATGCCTCTATACCCATGACCAATATTCTTGATGCATGAACAAATATCAAAAATGCCAAAATATGATTTCCCCTAAACAAGAATGAAGATTTGCATTATTTTGCCACAAAATTAAATTTCAGGGGAGTAATACAGGTCCATTTGACCTCTTGTGATCAATGGACTTGAAAGTCATTTGAATCTTTATTGATTCAGGAATGTTTTTCTTCCAGAGCTTAAGACAGTATAGCTATCAAAATGAAATAATTATGGAGAAGATTCATAAGGATGCACTGCGGAAGGCTCGGATCAGACTTGTCCGTGACCTTGACCCGAATGCAGAACTGTGGGATATGTTGGTTACTGAGTCAATATTTACCCCCATAATGATGGAGTATATACAGGTAAGAACATACATTTTATTTTCAAAGAACAACATGATTATTTCCTGACCATGTTTCTCCAACTGCTGTTCATTTTACTTCACCTTTTGATGTATAGAATCTCAAAATGGCCCAATATTTTCAATAATTCCATTTTGTATTGTGCAAAGTACCCCATTTTGTGACACATGTAGTCCTTACACTGATTAAGCCAATATTGATAAAATATGTATTTGCCTAAACCCAACCCAGGCCCTTTGATCTTGAACTTCAACAAATTTGTCACAAGTCATAGTTTATTTCATGGTCTGTTTTCCAATAGATAATGCATTTTTAGTAGAAAGAATCTGTCACATATCTATTAAAATATTAGATAGTAGTTGTTGAAATCAAATATTTAGATTTTCTTGTAAACTTTATAGGCAGAGAGGACACGATCAGACAAAGTTCGACGACTTTTAGACGACTTGGTAAGAAGGGGACCAACAGCATATTCAAAGTTTTTAAGATGTTTACGTGAATCTGGACATGAGGATTTAGCCAACACAGTAGAGGACAACGAGTACACATTGAGGGGGCTAACTGTTCCTTTCAGGGTAGACAATCAGATCAGACAAGGTCCAGCCAACGTTGTACGCACTGCACCACCGACTGTAACGGGCCAACACATACGGTCAAACCCTGTACAGGTACTTATCCTGATTCGTGACAATAAGAAACTAATAATTTAAAATATACTGTGGCTGATAGAATCTTCCCCTACCTTGAGGGTGTGACAGAGAAATCTCCAACCCGAGGGGTGATGTTTTTTGGTTGTCTAACCAGAGGCTCTTCCGAGGGTTAGACAACCAAAACAATCACCCAGAGGGTTGGAGATTTCTCTGTTACACTCTTAAGGTAGGGGACAATTATATTTCTCCCATCCTATTATTTCAGTCACAACTCCAGCGACTGTAGTGTAAACAAAAATACATGTGGGGTATGAATATCGTCATTCACTTTTGATGACGCCAGAATTACCGGTGACACTTTTTAATGATCAGCATGAGGCTATCTCTCCATAGGGGGCGACTAATAGAATCTTCCCCTACCTTGAGGGTGTGACAGAGAAATCTCCAACCCGAGGGGTGATGTTTTTTGTTTGTCTAACCCAAGGCTCTGCCGAGGGTCAGACAACAACAAAAATCACCCCGAGGGTTGGAGATTTCTCTGTTACACCCTCAAGGTAGGGGATGATTATTTTTCTCCCAAATTCCTATTATTTCAGTCACAGCTCCACCGACAGTAGTCTGACATGTTTGTAAACAAAAACACATGTGGGGTATGCATATCGTCATTCACTTTTGATGACGTCACAATTACCAATGACACATTTTAATGACGTCACAATTGAACACTCGCTAATCGGCACGAGGCTATCTCCCCCTAGGGGGTGACAAGCTGATCTTTCCCGGCTAAAACTGGAGACACACCTGTGAAGGGTGGGAGAAAAGCTGATCATTCCCAGCTAAAACGGAAGACACATCTGTGAAGGGTGGGAGAAAATGTCATTCAAAAGTTCTCTCCTTAGAATGAATAGGCAGACTTGAACTGAAGTTGGTTCGACTCCTCACAGGGCAAAGACAATTTAATTTGTATTTATATGAAGGTGCTGGCTCCCTTGCAGGTAGAGGAGTTGGACCCAATAGGTGAATATAAAGGCTTTCGAAGAAACACATTACCATCTGTATAGCTGTTGCAAGGATGTAAAATCCTTATAAAAAGAATGTAATAAAACACAAAAACCAATGACAGGTATTCATGTAACTTTGGATAAAGCATCCCTTGATTATTCTTTTTAGAAAGTAGTGGCTTTTGGACAGAAAGTCAGAGCCTTATGGAGGAAATTTGCATTCATTTAGATATGATTACTAGATCTAGTATCTTAATGAAAAGAGTTCCCTGATGGTACTCACAGTGTGCAACTTTGGGCACTTTCACATATTCTGCTTAACCAACACAAGCGACATAACCTGAAAAAAGGCCAGGTACAGTTTGGGACCGAGCCAGACCTCTGGAAAATTTGGCAAAGGCACATTATGCCTTAACTAATAAAAATAACAATTGATAGTTTGTCATATTTCTTTGTAAAACAGGGTCCATTCACACACATATTTCAGAATATGTTATAAAATTTAGCTCACATGTGAAAGAAGAATATATTATTCTTGATTTATTGTTGTATATTTGTCACAAACTGCATAATGAGCTCTGTGTAATAGGCTGCCCGACTTCCATGGCATGCGTTCATTTAGCTCACAATATTTCTGTTCTGTATCTTGTTAGTTATACGCCCCGCAACGAAGTTAAGGGGGGGTATACTGGAATCAGGTTTTCAGTCCGTCTTTCCGTCCATCTGTGGATGCAATGTAGTACCGTACTCCTCCTAAACTACTGGATGGATTTCAATTAAATTTGCTGATAGCAATCCTTGCAGCTTGGAGATGTGCGTAAAGTTGTAAAATTTTACATTTTTCATTGTATCTAATTCCTTCCAAATTTGTTATGGTAATACTAGAAGCAATAATGTTTAACATATTATATAAATAAATATATTTTTTATCAGGTTTTAACTTTTTGTTTTGAACTTTTACCAATATAGTACCAGATACTCCTCCTAAACTACAGGATAGATTTCAATGAAATTGACGCAATTTAGTACCATGTACTCCACCTAAACTACTGGATGAAAATTGCTGATAATAATCCCTACAGCTTGGAGATGTGCTTAAAGTACTTTTCATTGGGTTATCTCCCCTTTCTACGAAGTTATGGCTCTGTCTAGACCATGTCGTTGTATAGAAAATGCAAGAACATTTTTATTTTTATTTAATTCCTTCCAAATTTGGTATAGTAATACCAAAAGCAATAATGTTTAACATATATAACGTGGCTTTTTTGTCAGGTTTCAACTTCCACAGCTTAAACTTAATCTTACCCCTTTCATCACAGCCTCTTTCTCTCAAACTTTCTAGGTGGTGGGGGGTATTAGTTGTTGTCCCCAGGACGACAGGTCTAGTTTCAACTGGAATACCAAAAAACAGCCTTTACTTGCGACATACACTGTCACTTACAATTGCCAAGTTTTGTATGTTAGTATTTCTTGGCATTCCAGAGAGTCTTGTACCGATATTTGGTCTCCTGTCCTACTACCCAAATATACAGTCAAATTTCAATGTTAGGAACTTTACGGGACCATCAGGAAAATTTGAAACATTGAGACTTCAAGTCACAAATGTTGAACAAGCTGCATTAGCCCAAATGTGATTGCGACAGAACACAGACAGGAAATATAATTTGGACTCTATATATATTAGATTTGAAGCTATTAAAAACGTATTTATACACATATATGTATTTATACACTGTAGTTTGCATGTTTAGGTGTTAAAATGGCCCGGGGCATTTCAATGTTCTCATAGTTATTGTTTTACTTCAATTTATCAGTTTTAATTTTCAATGTTTTCAAAATGATCAGAACTACATTATAATTCAAGGACATTAAAGTTTGATTTAATAAATGGAATATCATTGATGTAATCTGGCCTTTGCCCTAAGTTCGAAACTTCAAGACATTCAGACCTACAAAGTTCAATTTATGGAAGATTAATTGTACAGTGTGTCAGGGTTATGACCCTGTGAATTGTTCACACTGCTTTTCTTTTTTTATCATTTCATATACATGTAGTATGTATAATACAATTTTACGTATTGCAGATGTTCTCAGGAGAAGAGAGAGTTGTACAACAAAACACTGTCACACAACACCAGCCTTCAGCTGAAGGTGAAACAGGACCAGCAAGTATGGCCTGTAGTTTAGTGACACCTTCAGGAGTCAGTATACCACCAACAGCCAATCACACTTCACAACTAGCGAGCCAGATCACAACAGCCAATCACACTTCACAACTAGCGAGCCAGATCACAACAGGAAGCTCACCATCACAATCAGGTCGTTACACAGCAACAGGAAGTTCATCATCACAAACAGGTAGTTATACAGCAACAGGGAGTTCAGCATCGCAACAAGAAAGTAGCGTGGGGATGTCAACTGGCCAGTGTGGAGATGATGATAATGATGATGCTGATGATGATATCGTTATGGAGACAGCAGATGCTCCAGCTCCAGAGACTGGTATGTTATCTGATTTTTGTGTTTTAGATCAGATGATTTTAAAACCATTCCATTTATAGCTGTCAATATTTAATTCTTTGATTGTTTTGAAAATATGTTCACATTTTCTTAGATTCTACTACAATACATGCAAGATTCGATATATTATTGTATTTGATGACACCATTTTATCTGGCATCTGACTTGCCATCCACAATGTTTGAATCATAATCATTTGGAGGTCAATATCACTTTTCAGGTCCATATACTGGTAATTACATATTAACTTGTCTTCAACAAAAGTCCATATTGATCATATTGAACCACTGTTGCATCAACTGTTGTATGTGGCATTAAAAGCTGCAATGAAAAGTAATGACGTTTGGAACCCGGGGAGTATTCCTAAATTTTAGGTGCAGTCGTCTGTTTGGACCATTCTAAAAAATACAGCATAATTTTAGTAACACTTTAAGTTTGAGTGTTAGAAATTGGAAACAAAATGACTGTGTAATTACACCTAATTATCTTCTTGTCAAGTTCCGTATATCAGTTCATGTCCTGTTAGAAGTAATGATTGGTTGATTATTAAACATAAAAAAAAAGAAATAATCTGAAATAATCTAAAACAATCTGAGTCATAAGATAAAATAATCAGTCATTTAAGTTCAGAAATGACACAGCATGTCTTGTTTTTGTCTCAAAAACACTTGGAGTTAGGAGTTAGCGTAATACTTCTTAACTCATTTACCCCTGAAATTTCATAATGAATTATTACATCTTTTGAATTGGAAGAGTTCAAATGTGTGTTCAGGTATGAATGAGTTATTATAAATAAATTTCTTTATTTTACATCTCACAGAACAGAAGAGCTTTTATTTACATTTATTGACTATGTTGAATATTAATCAATAAAAAATATACGAATATCTAGATTCAAAGCTTTTCGCATACTTGTAGTTGATAACATTTAATTAAAAAAAGATTACTGTATTTTCAAAATGAGAAATACACATCTTAAATTGGCCTATAACACAGATTACATACACCATCGTAAACATATCAGATTGTGACAGTAAAAGTCATTCCCATCTTCAATCAGGCCAATTGAGATGGTTTCATAACCTGACGGTAGTAATCATACTAGTTTGTAGGCTATAGATCTGAGGTGACTGTACATGAATATTGGTTTTGTGTTTTACAGAGATTCAGACAGCTTACCAGCGAGCATCCACAGAAAGACCAGTAAGTTGTAACCACCCTACCATTAGTATAGCCATTGTTACTTCGGGTGTTTAAACAGAACAACTAGTTTGGCTATTTTGGGAATGCAACATGACGGATATGCAAATGTTAATACATTGTACAGGCCTTTCCTAGGGATTGCCTCCATTTAACTGTCGATTTTCACTTTACTTTATACCATTTTATACCATTAATGATTTCCAGTTTAGCTGGTGGGTGTATAGCCCTGATGCCTATGCTATCAGGCCAGACAAAAGAGGCTTGTGTACAAGATAATTGGAAACTAGGAATTGGTTGAGGGTAATTTTTTGTATTTTATTTTTTACCTCAGTTTTAGATGGAGTCTTATTGATTTTGTGGGTTGTGTGGCTAACCATGGGTTTTCAGTTATTAATTTATTTCAAAATTCATGTTCATGAATATGCTTGTATTCATACATAAGTACATTTCAAATTCCTGTGAAAGGAAATTTTTTTTTTTTGGAAAATAACTTCTGTATCAACAAAATAGGCTCATTTTTATCCTTAAATGCCCATAGCTGTTAATAGGATGTAAAACACAAACAGATTAAACCAAAACCTTTACTAGTATATATATGTGAACAAGGTTATGAAGGAAAGTTTTATTTGTACACAAGCATTATAATATAAATGTAAATTGTATTTTGTTTAATATGAATAATAATAATTTAAGGTTCTTGTATACCGCTTTATCACAACCTAGTTCGTAGGTCGTCTCAAAGCGGTTCACAAATTATTATCCGTGGTTATAGGGCCTTTGCAACCAGCCAATACTTTTCTCAACTCCCTGGGGAGCATACGGCTGGCACTGCCCAACCACATACTCATTTACAGCTGAGTAGACTGGAACAAGCAGATTAAAATAACTCGCTCAAAGTACAACTCGGTGCCGTGCCATGACTCGAACCTGCAACCCTTCAGTGACGAGCCCGGCGTCCTACTATAGACTACCGTGCCTAATCTTAATATTGATTGATACATGTAAATAGATTGGCTATTTTACGTGCCAAACGCATATTGTTACACATGTATATTAACATTTTCATGGAAGAAGGACAATGGGTGCAAATAGGGCTCAAATAGTTATGAATTAAGACTTGATTAAGATAGAATCTAGGCTAGTTTTGGTTGTTTGGTTTCCAGTTCTAATTATATTTGAAGAATCAAAAAAGATGTATACATTATTTGGTAATTTACAGACCTATCGTATGGAGTCGACTCCTCGGGGCTACTGTCTAATCATCAACAATAGAGATTACACACAAGAGTCCTTGATGGATCCTAGAACTGGTACAGACGTCAACAGGGACGAACTCAGACAAGTGTTTCAAGAACTTGGATTCCATGTTGATGCCAAGGATAACTTAACAGGACAGGTACATTAAATCTATTTTGCAAGATGTATTATAACTTTTGATTTCGTTTAACGTAAACAGATCTTATAAAGAAAAAATATTATCCGAAATATGACCCAGCAGATCAAGCTGATATAAATCTGTTTTCAATTTACTACAAATATGTACTATCATGTCATAGATGGGTTATACGAAATTAAGTAAAAATTGTATAAATTTTTGGTTCTTTAACTCAGTCAAAAAGGAGATGGTTGGATAAGGGAGCAAGGGGGAACCCAGGCATACTGGTATTGGTAGACATAGCATATGTGTGAACTGAGAGTTATGAATGCAATTTCTTCTTGTAGTCTTTATAGAGCCTAACAGCAGCCTGATACATATATGATTTATTCCGTACAGGCTATGAAAGACACCTTGAAAAATTTCGCTGCCTATGAGGGTTTGACCAGAGTAGACTCCCTTATTGTTGCTTTCCTTTGCCATGGAAACAGTGAGAAGATGTATGGTGTGGACGGAGTTCCTCTTTATTTACAACAAGATGTATTCAAGGTGTTCAGCCCCCATGAGTGTCCAGTTATGAAAGGGAAACCAAAGTTATTTTTGATCAATTCTTGCAGAGGAGGTAACTATACCATCTTGCTATTAATAATGTAAAAATAAGTTAAGTATACAATCAAACGTACAGTAATAGTAAGATCATGTTACGGACAAAAAATGACTGCCCTTTATTGATGGTCTCAATGCAAAACAGAACACTAGCAAACAAGTAGTCATTGTTAATACACTTCTCAACTAAACTGTGACATGTGCTTCCACCATCTTTATTCACTCAAAGTAACCTCTCCTAACAAAGAGTTCCAGTAAAGGGGAGTAACTACTACAAGTCCCATATCTATTACCTCCCCTGCACTGTGTGGTTATATATACATAATGGGATTAACATTAATTATAATTTCTTCTTTTTGTGATGGCAATTGTCCATAAAGTGAAAATCAAAAATGTTTAGTCCATAAATCAAAATCACTTTTTAAAGTCGAACGCAATTGAAAATGTTCAAATTACTAAATCAAGTATTACCGTCCCGGTATGAAATTAAACTATATACAGTATTTACAATGTATTTAACAATGGATATAGAGTAGAAACCATCACTGGATTAGACTATCCTCCGGTAAAGGGGATTATTATGCCCCTTGCCTACACATAGCACATCACACAAATTCCTCTGGCATTTTCCCTCTCTGAAGTACATTTAACAGTTCGATACCGGATGCTCCTCGCTTCGTCAGTGAATTAGCCAGTTGTATTTTTCCCGGACACCATTTAATTTCAACTCGATTGTTTAGTTTCATTTCTACAATTCCGGCGATATCGATTCGCAGTCGTTTGTCATCAACCAGTTTAGTTGACTGTAAAGCCTCAATCACACTTTTGTTGTCAATAAATGTAGTGATGGGTAAGCTCTGATCCTTGATTCCGTAGATGCCTTCCACTAACTTCCTGTAGTACATTCCGGATTCTAGTCCTTCTTGTAAACTTAACGCTTCAGCCGCTATGGTAGAACGCACGACTCGCTTGATTTTGTTTGACTTCCAATAGATTGGACAACAGTTTCCATAACGATCCTTTATCCAAACGATATGTGCTCCAGTGCTCCCTTGGTTGTTATTAAGGTTTCCCAATGCCGCGTCACTAAATACGATGATCTCCCAGTCCTTGGTCACCTGACCTCGAAGAGGTGGAAACAGCTGAATGGGCCTTAAACCTTTTAACTTTCCTATGGTTTTTACGGCACGTGTTAGATCGCTTACAGTTGCTGAAGTAAGTTTTGTGCTCAAGTCCACTAGTTCAAACGCTAGATCAGGTTGTGATCCTTGTACTGCCCAATTCAACTGACCGACTAACCTACGGTATTGTGACTGTTCATGTTCACTGAGTAGACACTGCTTTTGTGAAGCACGTACCAGATCCATTTGTGGTTGATCAAGTTTATCCATATATGCCGAGTGATCGAGTAGGATCCCACTTTCGTTTTGTTTGATTTGAAATCCTATGTAATTGAAGTTCCCTTCCTCTACTTTTCCAGCGAGAAATCGCTCCCTGAGCATGCCTATTGTTTCTTCAAATGTCTCGTCACCAGCATGGAGAAAATCATCAACATGACAACATATAATTCCACTAAGATTTCCTTCTTTCATAAGTGTGAACACTGCCAGATCAAACTTCGACTGTCTACACCCTAATTTGTCAAGTTCATCTTTCACACTCATATAGAACTGTCTTGCTCCATCTTTGAGTCCGTACAAACCATGTTTGAGTTTCCATATAAACCCGTTCTCCGTAAGACTCTCTATAGGTGGTTTAATATACACGTCACGGTCCAATTCATTCCCTTGTAAGAATGCCGATTTGATATCTGTAGTTTTGACATTCCAGTTTTTACTCGCCGATACTGTGAGAAATATTCTCATTGCCCCTTTTCCCACAGTGGGGCTATCCTTGGGAATAAATGACCGTTCTTCAAACCCTCTCGCCACAAGTCGAGCCCTTGTATTGCCATCTTTCCTTGTAATTACCCATCTTGTTGATATGGTGTTTTGTCCTTGGTCTTCAACTTTCTCGTACGTTTCAAATTCATGAAGTTTTTGTAGCTCAGCTTGCTTGGCCAATTCACTACTTGTGTCGTCATCCTCTGTCGTAGCATTTACCGTTTCCTCATTCTTTTGTCTGTCTAAGAACTTCCATTCTACGCAACCCAAATCGACACTTTTCATCTCATTACTGATATCGTCCTGCACATTATACCAAGTTCTGTTCTTTCCTGTAGCCTTGCCTGCCCTACTCAATACCTTCGCACTTGTCCAATCCTCAGATCCTGGCAACTTGTACTCAATATACCGATTTGCCGTAATATGAGTTTGACCTTGACCCTGAGCATCACGACCTTGGCCTTCAGCATTGTGACCTTGCTGCTCGGCGACATTATGACCTTGTACATCCTGGTTGTCGACATCTGGTGTGTTCCCGACCTTTTCCGTTACAGTTTGATCACCTTTTTCTACATTTTTGTCATCTCGTTCCTCTACTGTGTCTTTTTCCTCTATTGTACTGTCATGTATAGGTCCGTTAACTTTACACAGTCTGTTTGGCGACACTCGAACAAATACCCCTCCGTGCCTCACGAACACAACTTTACCATCCTGAAACACGACTTTCCCTGGACCGAGCCAGCGCTCCTTTCCCTCTCGTTTATAAAATACCTTATCGCCATTTTCAAACACCTGTTCTGCCGCTCTCACTTTTGACCGTAATGCGCGCCTTAGCCTTTCGTCAGCTTCAGTTTGTATGTAGGCCTTTCGTGTCTCGTAAGGGCATTCATGTGCTTGAAGAATACCTCGCTCGTTGTACTCCCTTCCAATGCAGGTAACTCTGCATGCATGATGTTAGGTAGATTTGGGTTCTTCCCAAACACTAGTTGGTGGCTGCTGAAACCGTTCCACATTTGTAATGAGTTCTTTGCCATGTTAGCCCATGACAGTAGAGTTTCAAGTTCTATGTTGGAGTTTTCTGCTTCAAGTTTCAGTAACATCATGTCAGTAACAGCATGAACATGTTCACATAAACCATTCTGAAAGGGGCTCATTCCTGCAGTGGTGCACACACGTACGTTCAAAATTGAAGTGATCTCGCGCGTTTCCTCAGAGTTAAACTCTCCCCCATTGTCGGTCATCAACGATCCCATGACTCCGAACACACCTACCCAGTTCTTCATCAAAGCATCAATCACGTTGCTGGGTTTCTTACGACTGATGAAACGGAAACTGTTTATCGGGACCACATGTCGATCATGTGTAATATCCATCGGCCCTTATACTGTTTCAGATCCATTGCCACTTTCTCATTAAATTCTCTTGCCATCGGTAATGCCACGACTGGCCGTGCAGGTGTTTTGGCATACACCTTACACAGTTCACACTTTGCCTCTATTTCAGACAAGACCTCCTCATACTCCTCTTTCCACGCTCCAGCATCCTTCAGTAACGCTACTAGTCTTTTCTTCGGTGGGTGAGCGAACTGGCGATGTAATTTCAACAAGGTTGACATTCGTTTTTCTGGACCCTGTTCCTCTAGCTTGACTGTATTTACGTCATCAACACGGAGTGTTTCGGTTTTGTCAATCAGAACACAATAATGGCCAGACGACGTTAAGTTTAACGCCACCTCTTCTCCCAGAATTACTGCCGTGTCATTTTCTAAATCCATTTTTACCCCAGCCTTTTTCATTGCTGACCGGGACAACAACAATGGTATGTCAGAGTCCACTACATCTGTTTTGACTGTTACCTGTTTCCCGACAATGCACATGGGAAGTTCATATTCACCATCAGATTTTAACTTTGTCCCTCCACCAAACTTGAAGATTCTGTGACCTGTCTGACTAACAACCTTACTACGGTCATCCTCGCCGAGTGAATCCAGGTATGTCTGTAGCCAAGTGTTTCCGCAAACGGTACTACTGCACGCGCTGTCTAATACAGCACAGTTCCGTGCATCGGAGCCAAGTTGAGTTATGCCCTCCTTATGATACCCAGTAAATAAAACGGTATGTTCTACCTCCTCAGCTATGTTTACTTTCGACATATTTTCCCAACTGTCAGGACATTTGGCGACAAGATGTCGGTACGATCCACACGACTTACATTTAAGAACTTTACCATCGAACCCATTCGGATTGAGATTTTTCACTCCTCTTCACATAACCTACTGCCCATAACGCTTCATCCTTTTCTGCCAAAAATGTTGGTTCGAGTTTGATCGCTGGTGTATCACTTTTAACATGATCAAGTCCACCTCCCCCTTTAAACTTTTTCAGTGAAGTTTTGGCTTCCTCGTACAACGTATCTCGGTTCGCATAATTCATGCCTGTCAACACCAGCATCTTTTCTTCTTTTGTGACGTTGGCATTCCTGAGAAGTATAAATGCCAGAATTTATGATGGTAGTTTCATGTTCTTTTTCTCTATTTTTCTGTATGCACAATCAAAACTGGCAATAAATTCATTGATTGACTGACCTTCACTCCTCTTGAGATCTTCAAAGTCCTCAAATTTTTCCAAACTATCTGCAAGGTCATCTTTTGCATGATGTTTATCCAGAAAAGTTGTCAGGGTTTCGAAACCATCGTCTTTCTTTAAATCTTCCAAAGGAATTTGGTCGAATACTTTCTCCCTAATTCTATGCTCACCTCCCTCTGGCATACTAAGAGCTATAGCCACACCCCTTTTAGATATGGTACTTGTAGTAGTTACTCCCCTTTACTGGAACTCTTTGTTAGGAGAGGTTACTTTGAGTGAATAAAGATGGTGGAAGCACATGTCACAGGTTAGTTGAGAAGTGTATTAACAGTGGTAGCAGAGCGAACTTTGACATTTAGTCAGTGTAAAGTGAGCGTAGTTGGAATACAGAGAGTGTATAAAAAGTGTAAGGAGACATTACAGTGTCAGGAGAGCGTCACAAGGAGAGAAGAGACAATGACAACAAATATCAAACCCCCCCACTTTTCACACAGGGAAATCCTATGAACTTTATAAACAGGAGTTGTTAGCATGGAATGAAATTACAGAACTAGCAGCTGGTAAAAGGGGAGTAACTACTACAAGTCCCATATCTATTACCTCCCCTGCACTGTGTGGTTATATATACATAATGGGATAACAGTCATGTGGAGGTATTTAGCTAGGTGCCATAGAACTAGTAGTTAGCACCTAATTAATTGAATTGTGTTTATTGATTGTATAATTGTATATCTACATGTACGGTTAAACCTGTAACTAGAGATCACTGTCAGGAAGTTCTTCAAGTGATCTCTTATTGCAGATGGTCTTTCAGCACATGTTCACTCTAATGAACTACTGCAATAAGAAGTTTAAAAGTCATCTCATGATGTAGGTTTGTGTATTAATGGAGGTGGTCTCTTGGGAAAGTTGACTGGCTAGACAGAGCACTTAATCAATTGTTTTTTACTGTAATAATGAAAAAGACAGGTGTTTCTTTGGCAGATTTTACTCATTTATTTTTAAGATAAAACATACATTGAAGCTGCTATTATTTGCCCCGACATCTCTGTGGATAGGGGTGTTATAAGGTATTCATATACTCCATGTGCCTGGGTGTTTGTTTAACATATGAGCACTTGATATTCCAAACTTTTTTGAATGAAATACACAAACATATATGAGGTCATTTGTTCAAGGTCAGATTAAGTTTCATTTCATATCATTTTATAATAATTTGTTATTTAAATCAGAAACATTTTTCTAAAATTATCACCATTCTGTTTCAACAACATTTTCTGATGTGTACTTGAGCACTGTTTAAATAAAGTATCAGTGTATGCCGTATTAAGCATCCGTTTATATAAACTGTTTGAACAAAGTAAATTGTATCCGTTCACATGAATCATTTGGACAATATATTTTTTCAAGTGAAGCATTTGTTTACAGTATCAATTTGAGAGTACTACTTGTTCATGTACAAAGTATATGTTCAAGTGAATTATTTTATACAAAGTATCTCATCACATGAATTATTTTATACAAAGTTTTTGTTCCCATGAATTATTTTATATATTTGTATTTTGCTTTTTTATTGGTGTTTTTTAGGTCACCTGAGCTTTAGCTCAAGTGACCTATTGCTATTCGTTTTCGTCCGTCGTCCGTCGTCCGTTAACATTTTACATTTCAAACTTAAAGTCAAGTTCTGCTGGGCCGATTGAACTGAAAGTTGGTAGGAATGATCGACTCATGGTCCTGACAAAGTGTTGTTATTTTT